AAACATCCTTCTAGTGTCAAACCCCGCACATACATCATTCTGCACAGTGAAGCTCAAACATCCAACTGTACGAACAAGAAAAAAACATATTTCTGAGTTGAGGGAGACTTTAAATGTCTCCTTTTTATTGGCTCAAAACCTCTCAGATGCTTAATGCTGCCATTTAAATATCGACTTCTGACACTGCAACAAATGTACAGTACAGGAGCACATCACCTTTTATCATGCATAATTCAGCAGTACACTCTATCAGTCTGTGGCTTTGAGTGTGTGTGTATGTTGTGTGTGTGTGTGTATCCCAGCAGGATGGGTACATTTGTGACCCTGGCAGAGGTGCTGGAGGCCCGGGGTTCACCACTGGATGAGGATGAGGTCTGGTGTCTGCTGCTTGCCACCACTGAGGCCTTACTGGACATTTCCAGAAAAGGTAACCACTTCAGCTCCAATGTCCTCAATATTCCACCTGTTATCTGGGTGCAGGGCTTTCTCCTTTTCTCATTTTGAAACAATAAATAACACAAGAGAACGTGATCAAACCCTTGGAGTTGGTAAATGTCACCAGTTTCATTTCCGCTTTCTGTTTAGGTTCAGGCAACATGTGCAGTGTGCTGAGCCCAGGCTCGGTGCTACTGTCAGCCAATGGGAGTCTGGCCTTTAAAAGCTGTGCCAGATATGAAGACGTGGCCTCCTTCACAGCTCCTGAGGTCCAGCAGGGTCACGCTGCCTCCACCAGGACAGCCGCTGAAAAGGTTGTTCAAGTAGACGAGTGGTTTTAAACCCGGGGGTCATAATATAAGGGCTTATATGGAGAAATTACTTTGTTTTACGAGCACACAAGTGAGAGAAAGTGTTTTAAAAGGGCAGAAATGAATGTCTGAATCATTTCCTCGTTCTTGTGTCCTCAGATGGTTGTGTACTCACTGGGGATGACTCTTTATTGGTGTGTTGATTATCATCTACCTCAAAACCAGGTACTTCCCTCCTCTTCTAGCTCTTGCTTAAAAACCCATTCTTTCATATTCCTAGTACTTGAGCATCATCCACTTTGTGTATCACCTGTTTCCTCCCAGCCGGTCCAGCTGAGTGCAGAGCTGGAGGGTTTGCTGCTGAGCATGTGCGAGGACATGGTGGTTAGACGAACCAATCTGCTGACGGTGCTGGAGTCCTGCGAGCTTCACCACAAGGCCTCGATGATGCCTCCTGCCGAACAGCTTGTCAGGCACCTGGTGGAAGATGTCTACAGAAACTCAGTGAGTGTTTGACTGGTTTGGTTTTTAGCTTGTTAGGTGAGGTCATGGTCTGGTTGTGAGTAGTTTTAGTTGAGTCCATTTTGTTTTTGTGCTTACTGATAGCACCAACTCTCTGACTGTTTCCTTGAGCTGGACAGTGATGTCTTTGCAGGTTGATCATGTGTCCATGGCTGAAAATGGATCCCAGCTAACAGACCGCAGTCAAATGGTCAGGGACAGATTACACAGTAAGTAATTGATCCCTTTTGTCAGATTTCCAATTGAAATTGAATTGAATTGCATGTTTTGTCTGCTGCAGCATACACATCAACACACAAAAATTTGACAATGATTTCAGTTGGACTTTAAAACAGTAGTTTGTCCTTTAGTAAAATGTTATTCACTTTCTTGCTGAGAGTTCGACGAGGAGATCGATACCACTCTCATGTCTGTATGCTAAATTTGAAGCTGCCACAAGCAACTCATTAGCTTAGCTTAGCATAAAGACAGGAAAAAGGCTCTGTTCAATATTTGCTAAAATATTTACCTTAGTAGCTTCAGATGTTCTTGTAGGCAGATCTAACCTTTAGGCTAGCTGTCTTCCCCTGGTTTCAGTCTTTGTGCTAAGCTAACCACCTACTGGCTGTATGGCATATACCAAGACTTGAAGGTGGGGAAACAGTTAGCCCGGCTCTGTCTATAGCTAACAAAAGCCAACTACCAGCTCCTGTAAAGCTCACTAATTTACATGTTTAAATGTTTGTACTGATTTTAAAAATTTTATAATATTTTGTGAGCCATAATTTCTTCACCTTTGGACGGAGCCAGGCTATCTGTTTCCCCATTTGCAGTCATTGTGCTGCGCTAAGCTAACGGCTGCTGGCAGTATCTTCATTGATGAACAGACATGAGAGTGGTATCAATATATCTTCTCATCTAACTCTCAGCAAGAAAGAGAATAAGTGTATTTTCCAAAATGTCAAACCACTGCTTTTAGACAGTTTCACCATGCCATGTGCCAATGTGAGAGATGTAATATTAGCATGTGGACATGAAAACATACCAATTTGTTTTTCAGGAGGCTCTTTTAGCAACTCAACATGGGCGCTGAAGAAGAAGATTTCTAGAACGTTCTCTGGAGCATCTTATCCATGCGAGCCTACAGGGTATGAAGTCTGTATTTTACCACACTTTACATTATAAATAGTCATAAACCAAACCAAGTAAAGTTTGATGTTACTAAAAAAACGACAAAAGCAGACATAAAAAGACAGTGCTCTGAAGACAAAAGCCCTAGAGGAAACATCCGGCATGAAATGTGTGATGTGTTTGTTTAAGCCGCTGTGTCACTAGTGATAGATCTCGCTTCCTGTCAGACTGAGAATGGAAAACTAATTTTTCCCAGGATTCCCTCAGGAGGTCGACACAGGGACAGTTACGGCAGCTGGCAGCAGCTGAACCGCAACCCCTGCAGTCCGTATATAGATGGCAATCGAAACGCCAACTCAAGATCCATCCCACAGTTCGAGCCCGCAATGAGTGACAAGAAAATGAAGGTGAGCTAGATTATTATATCTTGTTATTTAAAATGATAATATAATATCATTATAACTTATATGACGTTTCATTAAAAACCTTGTGATGGGAAGGCAAGAATGGATGTGTTATCTAAATAATAAAATAATTAGCTTGTTTTCTCGAAATAACGGCATTAAATTAAATCTGTTCTCAGCTTCCGTAACTGGGGTAGTTGATATTTATTTTGCCTCATCCTCTGTTGCAGGACATGGGTCCTGAGTTTATTAGGATGTTAGATGAGCCGCTGGTTGTCTTGGAGCTGCCTGGATCTATTGTGGTGAGTAGAAGAAGTTTAGTCATTGTTCTCTGACTCTTGAAGGTCTTGAACTTTATAACCATTTACAATGTCTGCACACCCTACACCCTTTGTCTCACCCTAAACACATTCTGAAACTTTTTATAGTGTACTTTGCACAACCTTTTTTTTTTGTTAAATTGAATTCTGTTCCTAAATCTTCTTCTTCTCCCTCTCACAGTCAAAGAAAGGGAAATCTCCAACCACTCAGAGAGAGCTGAGTGTAGTAATGCCAAACGGTCAGACCATCATGGTCAAGTGTGAGTTGAAATCCAGAGGAGGAGACGTCTTTGACATGATCGTGGCTCACTCCAACCTGATGGAACATTTCTACTTTGGCCTTGCTTATATTGACGGTAAAGAGGTTGAAAAAATAGCGAGTGAGTGAGTGAGTGAGTGAGGGGTAACCAGTGAGAATGAAGATGAGGTTAAAACTGTCTGTAATTATAATAGGGATGACTAAATAATAATAATTGACCAAGAGAGGTAATTTATTCAGGAGCTATATACATAGATAGACACCAAAAGCCTGAAAATGCAACGTTCACTCCTTTTCCTAGAGAACTGATTGGATTTTTTTATGGGTGAGAATATAAACCAAAAGCATACAACTCAGGTTTCATACATAAGGTATCATATATGAGGTCATGGGTGCCTTCAGTTCCACATGTTTACAGTACATTTCTGTGAAAAACTATCTGCAAAAAACACCAAAAATGGTCAAACGACCACAAAGGAAGGTCAACAACTTGTTGGTGTAGGTAGATTATAATTCATACATTATTAAGGTATACTCACGGTTTCTCTCTGTTCTTCCCTTTGGTCAGATAATGAATTTTTCTTTGTGGACAACGATACCAAGATTTCCAAAGTTGCTCCAGATAGCTGGAAGAAAGTGCCTACAACCACCTTTGTCCTTTTCCTCAGGGTCAAATTCTTTGTCACTGACATTTCTCTTCTTTTGTAAGTACTTGAGTTATCACCAACAACACAAAATGTGTCTTCTAAAGTTGGGTAGAATCCTTTATTGTGTACCGCCTTCTCTATCAGGCACAAACAGACCCGCCACCAGTATTACCTCCAGCTAAGGAGAGACCTTTTGGAGGACAGGCTATCCTGCCATGAGGAGACGGCTCTGTACCTGGGAGGTCTGGCCCTGCAGACAGAGTGGGGAGACTGCATGCCTGAGGTTGTACACAATGAATTTTAAACATCGTTTTATTTTAATAAAAATCGACCATCGTCATTTGATGCGTGTCAATTGATCGGCCGTTGCATACTCCGAGCACATCATAGGTACAGTAGCCAGGGTTAGTGCCAATCTACCGAGTGTATGTAATAAAAGAGTCGATACATGTTGATACTAGGGAATAGGTCAGTGGTTAGGGTTAGGGTTGCACACTTACACCGATGGTTGCTAGGGTTTTGATGCACGTTTTTCATATAAGGCTAAATTTCCCATAAAACCAGTTGCTTTGTCCTTTTCTGCATTTATTTTCTTTTTTAAGACTAAAATGAATCCCCTTTAAAATTTTACATTTTGCGCCTTAAAAAGATACCACAGTGTGCATAACTGAGTTTCTGGTGAAAGTCAAAGGTTTTGCTCTTTTGTGTTTAGGTGTATGGTAGGAACTACTACCGACCTGACCAGTACGTCTCCAAGAGTGTGATGGAGAAACGTGCCTTGCCTTACATTCAGGGGGAGCTGCTGCGACTTCACACCAACAATGCTCAGATGCTTGCTGACGAATCAGAGCTCGAGTTCCTCAAGGTAGCAAAAGAGTAAAAATTTTATCATAAAAAAATAATACTACCGTCAGTATTGTATGAAGTATCACTCTCTGTTTGTGCCTTTAGGTGTGTCAGCAGTTGCCTGAATACGGCGTGCTGTTCCACCGTGTGATGCGTGAGAAAAAGCCTCTAGAAGGAGAGATTATCCTCGGGGTTTGTGCCAAAGGAGTTATCGTCTATGAGATTAAAGATGGCTGCAGATCTACCAGTCAGAATTTTTACTGGAGGGAAACAGCAACAATCTCCTCTACTGTGAGCGGAGTGATGGTTTTATCATTTAAATCCTTTTGCTATGTGAAATTCAAATTGGTTGGCAGTGACATCTCTTGTGTATCTGTGTGTGTTGTGCCCTAATAAACATCCGCCTCGTGTTCCTGCAGAGGCGTAAATTTGTAGTCGAGAGCCGGGGCAGCAAGAAGAAGTACACCTTCATCACAGAGAGATCCAAGATTGCCAAATATCTGTGTAACCTCTGCTCAGCCCAGCACAAGTTCAACAATGAGATGACCTCTCGCCAGCTCACCCACAGCCTGGTCTCAGGTCAGTTACTGCTACAGAGTTGCCCAGTATTGTTGCCATTTTTAATGCAGACATAAGTGAAAAGACAAAACTGAACCCCACTCCGCTGTTTGGTGACTCCTTCGTGTTTCTTTGTGTTTACCTCCAGAGGAGAACATCGTTCAGTATGCCGCAGTGTGTCGGGCTCAGAGCAGCCGCCGCAAGTCCTTCTCCTGTTCGGAGACGCCACAGGATGACAGCGGTGTGACCACGCCTCAGGATGAGTCAATGAACAAGCTCTGTGATGATGTCGCAGCCAGGATCGAGACCCGTATTAAACTGCAGCGCCAGAGCCTCAATGAACAGAGGTACAATCATCATTAGGCTTCCACCTAAAGTACCTGGAAGTTTTTGTCTCATGAACAACCTTTCGAGGAAATAAAAAGGTCCTTCAGCTCCAACCTAAAGACCGGCAAAGATTAGGCAAATTAGTCCACTGATGTATGAAAAAGTAATGCCTGTTTTTACAGGTAATTTTTGCGTGCAGCTACACAACAGAATACATTGTTGGTTCATCTGTTGTATGCTTTCTTCTGTATCTGTTGATGTGTACAGTGAACAAAAAACTAACTGGTTTGCGGCCTCAGATCTTTAAATATGGTGCCTGGGATTCTGAGAATTCACGACCAATCAGAAATATTCATGAAAGCCCCGACCCCATAGTTTCTGTACTTTTGGAAAGTACTTCCCTCAAAACAGGGACTTTTTTAGGGGTAAAACAATGTCCCCGGAATGTAATTTAGACCTTGGTCCTCCAAACGTTCCTAGTCCCTGAGGGATATTTCCTGTGGTTGAAATGCGGCTGTATAGCCATATTTCCGCTTTAAACATTCAAATCTCATTCAACAAATCTCTAGTTTGCACATCAAAGAACAGCAGCATCTGGTGTTGTATTTGTTCTTTTTGTGAATCGTTCTTGAACTCTTTAAGAAACAATGTGGCCTAAACTTGAGGTGAGCTGAAGTCTGTCCTTTGGCTCATGCTAATTCCAACCACTTCTTCTTCTGCTTTTTCCAAACAAACCACTGCTACAGAAAAAGCACTTCCTGTTCTCAGAGGACACGATTGTGCAATATGAGTCAGTCACTCTATCCCTATTATCACATTGATTTTCTGTGATTATTCTGCAGTACCTGCTCCAGCAGTCAGCGCAGCAGCACTGGAATGCGTTCCCCATCCTGCTCTCAGAGGAGCGGATCCGAAGCTCCTTCTGGCTCCCCGGCAGCCAGAGGTAGGACTAAGTTTACTGCTCATTTGTCTACCTGACGGCCAGCCCGTGACAGATGTTGTACCTCAAAATCACCACTCAGCAAGCTGCTCCATGACAGAGTAGCTAAACAGAGATGGTGTTAGTGCTATGTGCTTTTGCAACAGGCCTCTTTGCAATTGAGTGTAAAGTTGCCAACTGCAGGGCCTTTTCTTCCCATCATACTTCCTTATTTCTTAACAGATGTGATGAATTATTCAGTGTTGACAGTTGTGGGATAACGCATGACAAATGATGCGTCTTCTCAGTGATGGCTGCATCAGACCAGTTCACTTTTTTTAAGGTTTATGTGTTAATCTTTGTGTCTTACAGAAACCCCAACAAAACTAGGGCCATCATCAGAGAGAGAAGTCATATGTGTGTCTTTAAAGAAAGATCCAAAGCTTGGCCTGGGTAAGCTGATCACACTTAAATACACAGCATCAATAGAGAGTCTGAAGAAGAATTGTTAAGATTCAGTTAACTGGATGCTCTTTTTCCTTCAATGCACAGTAGACGTGCAGTAAAATACCATTACAGTGTGTCATTCTTACATGCTAGTGCACTCTTGCTACTACATGTGTCAGTTTGAGTGAATGGAGTGAACTTTCCAAGCAAAATGATGAACATGAACAAGCCTGATAGGAACAAATGTTTCAGATCATGTAAGCACCCTGACAGCAGTTCTGTGACGTGATAAATAAATCATAATCTTAAGTCCTTTGAAAGCTACAGAGGAATATGACAAATATGTCTCTTCTTCTCATATCTGTGGTTTGTGTTTGTATAGGTATAGTGATAGTGGGAGAGGACACTGTTGGACATTATGACTTGGGCATCTTTGTTGCTTCCATTGTGCCTAATGGACCTGCTGATAAGGATGGACGCATCCGACCAGGTAGAGAATCATGTGGTCACTTTTACTTTATGCTTAGGAACAGGAATTTGCTTTGCTTTTTTATTTACAATTCAAAAATGTATGTTCAATTTAAGTTTTTCCAATTTGAATTCCTAAACACACCACTAATTTGTTCTATTCTGTCAAATGGTGGATACCTCATTTTGGTACAGACTCCTTGTATATGTTCATTCAATCTGGCTATAGGTGTTTTTCTTTTGAAGTCATCCAACATCTTTCTCTGTTTTAAGAGAATGGGTGCAGAGAATGTGTGGCAGGACAGTGCAAAGGAGGACAAAGAGGGTGTGGGAGGTGTCTGGGGTTCAATTATAGGCATTAGGGGTCACACATGGCTTCAGAGGTGGTGGTGAGGTCCACTGTTATAGGACACCAGCACCATTTCACTGTGACCTTTGCCTGCAGGCGGTCGTCTGATCTCTCTGAACCACATCAGCCTGGAGGGCGTCACCTTCAGCGAGGCAGCGGAGGTCATGCAGAGCAGCCCTGAGGAGGTGCAGCTCATTATCTCACAGCCAAAAGGTGCTCTGTGTCTGTTTGTGTGTGTGTGTATATGTGTGTTTGTGTAATGATAATGTGGCTATGACCTTTGCCCTCTTGTTTGCGTGTAATGTTGGTGATTTCGTAATTAGCCTTTTCTATTGATGCACCTGCTCTGAACTACTAACATGTAAAAGATTTGTGTCTTTCCTTTCTCTCCTTTGTCGTCTATACTGTGGTTTTAGCACATGTCCCTGAGTGTACTGATTTGCGCTCCATTGTTATATGTAATAATATGTCAAAAATATTAGTGTATTTTTATATCACCATCCCAGTTGTTTGTCTTCGGGCAAAATGTCAGTTTACGTTGACTCATTCTGCTCTCAAGGGGGTAAACACATTCTGTCCTCCACCTCTCATCACACAGTATAAAGCCTACAAATCTGACGTTAAACACATTATAGTCCAACTGAGAAAAGTCCAAGCCTTAAGAGAGTAAGAGTGTTCTCTTATCTGCCTTTTCTTTACATTTTAAACTCTAAAAGAGCATATATCACAATGATTTTCATTATATCTCAGTCAATATAATGTACTGTAGCTATCAGGACTATCTAACATTTGTATTCTTCAGGTCATTTAAATACCCTTATTTGTATTCATGCTAAGGGATAGATGAGAAGATTGATGCCCCTGNNGAAAACAGCTATCCTGAAAAGTGAGGAAATTAACACGGCTCACAGATAAACGCGTACATAACATGTTTTATCTTTCTTTCTTCAGGTCATTTAAATACCCTTATTTGTATTCATGCTAAGGGATAGATGAGAAGATTGATGCCCCTGCTACAGCCAGCAGCAGTTAGCTTTGCTTAGCACAAAGACTTGAAACAGGGGGAAAACAGCTATCCTGAAAAGTGAAGAAATTAACACGGCTCACAGATAAACGCGTACATAACATGTTTTATCTTATTTTTTAAATCAGCACAAAAATCTAAATGAGTGCTGGTCGGGGGATTTTTTATATGGACAGAGCCAGGCTACCCATTTTGATGCGAAGCTAACTGGCTGCTGCTTTGTATTAATTGTACAGAATGAGAGTGGCATATGACACCCTTAGTGACTGCCCTTTTAACACATAGTTAACATTGTGAAACAGTCGCAGTTTGGTTAGGTTTAGGAAACAAAACTACTTGGTTAGGTTTAGGAAAACATCATGATTTGGTTTTAAATAGTACGTTACATGACGTACGTTACGCAACAGAAATCATGTTTGTAACGTTGAAACAAAACCTTTTTGGTTTCACATGGGACATCACATTTTTTTCCCAGGGTAGCAATGTACTCTTCCTCTGATATTTGTTGCTTTTGTTGGTTTGTTGGTTTGTTGGTTGTGGATTGGTTAGGTCTAGGCATGAGGAGTGAGTGGTTAGGGTAAAAATGTCCTGGCTGGGTATTTCATAGCCAGGAGCAGGGTAAGTCAAAAAAACTTGGTGTAAGAACTAGCTGGTTCCCCCCCACGTTCAGTCTTCGTGCTAAGCTAAGCTAACCGGTTGCTGGCTCTACCTTCTTAAGGGGCTAGTAGACTCTGTGAGAAGTGCTTGTTGGATGGTTTAATATCGTCAGAAAGACCTTTCCCCTACATCTTTGTGTGTCCATTTCTGTACCTTTCCAAAAGCGAGGATCCGACATTCACACCCACCTCACATCGTGATTTTGTCAGCTATATAGAGGCAGGAAGAGAGGCAGAGTTTGAACCTCTCTCTCTCTCTACCTCCTGTTTCCCAAAATGTTGAACTATTCGTTTAAAACCTTGGTTAGTCTTACTATGTATGAACATTTCCAACATTTAAATATAACATTAACTGACCCTGTTCATATTATCCACAGTCCTCGTCAGTCCCAACACCATACGCTCTCCTGTGATGAGGAATTATGAGTCCCAGACCACACTGATGACAGACGGCCGATCAGGAGACCAGGAGAGCTTGGATGAGACTGTGTCGGTCATGATGACACCGAAGACTGGCAACAGGCTTCACGTCCCCCGAGAAGTACGAGTCCTCAGTGCACAGGTAGAATCATGGTGATGGTTTAGATGTTATTGAGGCCATATTGTTATTATAATCACTTAGGGTCATTAAATAAGTAAAACCACATGTAGGTGACCAGAATTAATGTCTTTTATAATGTCTATTACTTGTAACTGCACATATCTGATCTGTTGTCTTTTTTACACTGACAATAATCTGTCTGGATGCAAGGATCAGTGGGTAGGTGCAGTCAGACACACAGAGAGACATGACTGAAGTCTGTGTTGCTTTCAGGACAGCTGCTCTCCGTCTCCCCCCCTAAACTGTGTGAGGCCACAGGAGATCACCGTGGAGCTCAGAAAGATATCAGGAAGTCTGGGCCTCAGCATCTCTGTGAGTGAAATCTCAAATATTTTGAAAAAGATGAAGCTGAGTTCACCCCAGGCTTAGATATTATGTGACTGTACTTTCAATGACTGATGTTGACAGTGTGTAAAATGGTGCCAGAATGATGCATTAAAAATTAGATCAGGAGTAGAGTGATATATATTATATAATATTTAGCAAAATATTGTTTTTTTCCAGTTATTTTGTTTACAATGTCAGAATTTGACATTAGGAATGAACAGTCATAGAGGATGATTAGTACAGCAGCTCCAGCAGTGGGCCTCAAAGTCTGCTCTGCCCAATCTGATTAACATCTGACAAGATTAGAGAGAGAGATGTTGGTCCATTTTACCTCACTCACACTGATCGCTGCTGCACAATAAACTGCGAAAGGGAAATAACAAGCTAAAGTGAAACAGTTTCTTTGCACACTGTTTTCCCTCCTACCATTCAATATATCACAAATGTGTTCTGAATCCCCAAGTTTTTGTCATGAATCATTCAGGCTGGCAACACAAACCTCCCTAATGGAGGAATCTACATAAGAAGCCTTGTTCCAGGAGGGGCTGCTGAGAGAGATGGACGTCTACATGCAGGTATTACAGCTAAATATCAAATCCAACAATGCTAAGGCCTTATGTACTTACGGAGAACAATGTTTCCTAACTGGTTTAATAATGGTATGTTTGATCTGTTTACAGTCATTCAAAACTGTGTGGCCATTTATTGATTTCTCACAAGTGTGAATTATGGGTAGCTCCTTCTTACAAACTCACTGCCTTTAGCACTTTCTGAGTCTGATAGTGAAATAGCCCTGAGCATGAGCTCACTGCAGGATTATTGACTATCCACCATCTAAAATGAAAAGGGTATATAAGTTATTAAAATCCTTCAAGGAAAACAGTCGAAACTAACAAGTATACAGTAGCAATAATGACTTGCATATTACACCTTGTATTCAGATGAAATTGTTAATAGGAAAACAGGATGAAAAACAATCTAGGGTACAAGTTATGCTACGTTATCTTATTGCTGCAAATAAGCAAATAATTAAATTTAACACTTCAGATTTATTCTTGAGCATCTTCCCCCAAGCCATAACAGCTCTACAAGTGGACAAACAACACTCTATTTATCACTGTGTCACTGACATTCAACACTTATTAAGATGGGAAAATTGAGTGTTTACATTTAGTCATTGCTTTCAGGAGAGAAACAATGATATTACAAGCAGCTAGAAACAGAAACCAACATAAGTTAAATATTATTTAATCTCTCTCTATTACAGGTGACAGAGTGTTGGAGGTGGACGGGATAAGCTTCCAAGGGTTTACCTACCATCAGGCTGTGGGATGCCTGAGTAAAACTGGGGAGGTAAAGGACGACATGTGACTGATGGTTGTATTATGTCAGAGTGTCTATTAGAGACCAATGATTACCTATATACGTGATGACGCCATGTTTTAACCATGCTAGAAACATTGCTATAGGGATGACAATATCAGTCTGTTGTTCTGTTGGTACCATTGACTGTATATGAAGATGGATTTCGTGCATATATTAATGGTCCCCAAAGTTTGAATCCTAATTTCCAAATGGTCCCCTGCAACTATATATTTCCATTCTTCACACCCTTCTCTTCTTCCACTCTCGGCTTCCTCTCCTCTTTTATCCCATTTTCTGATCCCCTCTTCTACCTAAAACTTTAAAGAGGGGCACCATACTTGAACATTTGACGTCATCTCACAGGTTTAAAATGGTTCAACAGGACATCTACTGTTTTAAATCACCCTGAACCTTGCAAAGCCAATGCTGACATAGAGTGGACTGTTTGGGACTACTTTACATTACAACATTTGTATAGAAAATGAATGTTAATAGCCTCTAATCCGGCCCACCTCCCCCAGTGTTTTTGTATTTTTAATGGTTCGGACTTGTACTTTTGATGTCTGTAAAAGCCCCACAGACTGCAGTCTTTACTTTGATGATGATCCCACACAGTGACAGTCCACCCCCAGACACATACCAGAGAGTTAGCCTCTGAGCCTTTAGCATAGCTACAACACAGCAGCTAGCTTAGCTACAGCACAGGTACCACACAGAAACTGTTACAATGGGTTGTGAATGTGCTTCAAGTGACTATAAAAGATCCAATTAACACAAATTGTTTCCAGCATGGACACACAGAGTCTGACAGCAGCTGCTAATGGCTGGTTAGCTCGGTTAGCTTTGACTACCAGCTACACTGTGACTGACTCCTTTGCAGGTCTCTGGTGCATTTTTTTAAAATTTGCTGAGAAGAAGGGAGCTAGCAGAATTGAGGGGTGCAGTTACACTTTAAACTCTTATTTGTATTCCTCCTAATCGCATTCTGGTCTTTTCCTCCCCTTCCTTCCTCTAGGTGGTAACTTTGGTTGTGGAGAGGGAGCTGATGAACCGAGCCAGTGTTTCTCTCAGTGCAGACACCAGCAGCAGTGTATCCAATCAGAGCATCAGTCCAGCTAACAGCCCACAAAAGATCAACAGCTGTTCATCCGTCAGTACTCCTCCAAACAAGATCTCAGACCGGCCCAGGGACTACAGCTTTGTCACTGATGGTAGGAGACCTTAGTTTAGCTTTAGACCAATTAACACAAACTACATATAAGTGCCCCAACAAACTAAGAAAGCACAGGATCTCTGTCTGGGAACTGCTCAGAAATATCTGCAGAGACCATTTGTGCTCTTGAAAACTTCTATATTGAAACAAATTTCGCCAATAGATCGATCTGCAGTTCCCTCAGAGAGACAGAACGTTATGTCACAACACCTCACAGTACTGAGGAAGAACCTGCGTGAGAGAACCTGGCAACTCTAAGCTGTTGTGTGCTTTAATAGCCCACCAGGCTAGTCTGGCTGCTTCAAGGTGAACTTTGACACACTTCCTTCTCCTCATCCTGATCTTCCTTGCTGACCCTGACCTTCAACTTCTTATCCCCCTGGCCTCACTTATCCTTCGTTCTGTCCTTCTATATCTGTCATCCCACATCTCCTCTCTTTTCTCTCGCACAGGCGGGCAGATCACATGTTTTAACACAATGCAGAGTCAGATTCATCCCTTTTAGGGATTATCATCTTGACAACCGTTAACACAAGACATGAGGCCAAAATAGCCAATGTCGATTCATATATAAACCTTCAAAATGTCCCTCCCACCCATTTCACTGACCTGTGTTTTTGCTCGTTCTGTACCTTTTTGTTCATATAACTGAATGCAACCTTCTATCAAAATGGTGTTATAATTGCTTTTACTGTTGCTTTCATCATGTCTACAGAAGGCTGGAGAGGACATGCAAGTAATGATTTCTTTATCTTGACCATGAAATATAATATATATAACAAGCCTTGATTTCCTGTGATGATAAAATAATTATTCTCTGATCAAGAGAATCTGTTCTGACCATATTATGAGTTGACAAATTGTTGTTATCAAAAGAAGACGAACAACAAAACTTTATAAAACAATCTTTTGTGTTTTTAATTAAATTTTAATGACTGCAAAAAAAAATAAATACTTAGGCTAACTGTGGCAAAAAATATTGTTTATTTAAAGGAATAGTCTGAGAATCATTTTGAGAAATACGTTTATTTGTTTTCATATGTGTCTGGTAAATATATGGCTACAACCAGCAGCCTGTTAGCTTAGCTTAGCACAAAGACGGGAAACAGGGGGAAACAGCTAGCATGGCTCTGTACAACAAAATCTACTAACACCTCTAAAGCTAATTTATTAACACATAATATAATTTGTTTAATCCATACAAAAACTAAGTGTAAAAAATGACAGGTTGCAGTCTTTTGGAGAAGGCTAGCTGTTTCCCATTTCCTCTGCTAGCTGTGGCCTTGTATTTATCAGAGAGATATGTGAGATGTATTGATTTTGACATATAAGCGTATTTCCCTAAATGTTTAACTATTGCTTTTAAGGTATACAAAAATCACTAAATGTATTGGCCTTTTCAAGCTTCCTACACCTCGAGTCTTCTGCTCACATAACATATTCTTCTTACTGAAACATACTGCATGTCCGACACACCTTTTGCTAGCCTTTATGGCGCCCTTTCGCTTTGCCATGCCTGTTGGTGGATTGCTTGATCCTGAAAATAATGCTCAAACTGCTGCAGTCACTTGCAACCACTGCTGCCGTTTATGAACACCCATCTACCACCCTAGCATCCACCTTTAGGCTCTGAGTTTCATTGTCCCTGTTATTGTCGCTCCCCAGTCCCGTTGCATTCTTGTGGGGAGTGATGATGTCCAAGACTAGACACCAAATATATAATTATGCTTTTATATTTGCATTTTATTCATTTTTCAGTTTCAATCTGAACAAGACTAAACTAATTAAAATAAACATCTTCTAATGCATTTTCTCAAACAAAAAAGATAATCAGCTTTATGTTTTCTCTTCCCTTCTTTCCTCCTCTCCCTACCACCTCCCTTTTCCAATTTCCTCCTAACTCCTAACCTCCATACATCTGCACTGTGTTTCACCTCATCATTATCCCATTACTGCCTCCGTCCTCCCACCTCTAAACCCTCAGACAACACCCAGGAAGTGACTCTGACCAAAAGTGCCAATGGCCTTGGCTTCAGCTTCCTAATGTGCGAGCTGGATCCGCCCACTCGGGACTTTGGCAGCCTTGTCCGGATAAAGCAGCTTTTCCCCGGCCAGCCAGCTGAGCAGAGCGGCAGGATCCAGGAGGGAGACATCTTGCTGGCCATCAATGGCCAGCCACTCAAGGAGCTGTCATATCCAGTATGTGCAGACTTCAAGTTGATGATTTGTTCATATGTGATGGACTTAAGTTTACTTGTAAATTTAAATTCACTATGGAAAATTATTAGTTTTATTATTAGTTTGACACGAGTTAAAGTGAACATGCTTTCGTCAATATAATATAATATATAATATATATAATAATATAATATATATAATATAATAAATCAGTTATTGTCATCGCTTACTAATATGATGGATATGATGCAGTTGTATGATTATAAATATTGCATAATAGATTGATACTGCACTGATTCTCTATGCCAGGCCTTTAACGTAAACTGGTTCAATATTCTGACCAAACTGCATTTATATATGCATGGAAACTTTTATTTTAACAATTGTGGGTTGTTTTTCTCTCATGTGATGGTATAAATGTTGATTTTTTTGTGAGTTTTAAAGATCTGCTACAGAACACCAACTATAGGTAGAATGTAACTAACAGTATTTACAATTTATGCAAGTTTATACTCCTACTTCACTACACTTCAGAGTTTCCACTGCATTTGTCTTACAGCTTTAGTTACTAGCTGATTTTCATATTATTAATATTTCATACCCTTCCTGTCTATTGAAAACCATGTGAAATTCAATGTGAAGGGAAGGATTAAGTGTTAAGGTAAATAAACTATTTAAAACCACTCTTGGATTAGCTAGAAAAAACATTGTCACAAAGCTGAAAAAAGAAAAAAAGGGCTGTATTTTTGAGCTTGTGAAAACTTTTTAAAGATACGTGGTGCTCACAGGATACCAACATTATATAAAGTAGTTAAATGTAGCTCAACCATATATCTACATAAACATAGACACTAATAATCCAAAAACATCATATATAATAGTAAAACACTGACAGGGAACATTTTTATGCAGAATGAGTACTTTGATACTTTAAACACATTTTGCTGATAATACTCATATTTAAAGCCCCTACAAGGAACTTTAATTTTATATTGATTATAGTGCCCCCTGTGGACAAAAGCAGCCTGTTTCATTGATTTCAGAAGGAATTCAACCAAATCCGACCCGGTTGCAGGCATCAAAAAACCTGGAATTACTTTAAGTACTTTTAATTTAGTAAAGGGTCTGAATACTTCTTCCACCACTGACATCAGCTATCTGAAGCTTCATTACTTGTATATAGCGCCGTAAAACATTCTCTCTTCTTTCTGTAGAAGGTGCTAAAGCTGTTTAAGACTTCACCACCTGAGGTTCGACTGACTCTCTGTCGGCCTGCACCAGGTATCAACGCACACACACACACACACACGCACTTGTACACATTTGCGGTCATCTGATTTCCTCACCTGTTTGTTGCCTGCAGGGGTCCTTCCTTCCGTTGATCAGTTTATCGGCACATGAGTGACGTCACAGTGTCATACAGTGGAAGAATCAATGGATCCTGATCAATCAGGACATGGTGATGGAGACCAAGGACAGAATTAACAATATCGGTGTTCTGATCGGTGCATTAAGCTGATCATATCAATGGACTCAGATCCTACCGAAAGGTCAGAGATGTTCCACAGTGTGGCGTGACGTGATGTGATTTGACACAGTATGTTCTGACCTTCTTGATCACCAGCCAGTGGGAGTTTTATTTACTGTCACAGTCCAGAGGGATAAACTGATGTTTTCAATCACTTCGAATACTGCAGGCAGGCACTAATATTAAATAAAGAAAACATGAAACAACGTAGCATCATCTGAAATTGCGTAACACCGTGATCTCTTACACAACATGTTGTGACAAGACATAATGTAACTCAGTGTGACATGACACAACATGTATGCATGTATGAGTATAGTCTTTGGATTGGAATTAGTGCTCGATGAGTTTTAACATAATGTTTTAAGTCATTTATGCAGTTTCTAACTGACAGTAAAGTTTGTCTCTGTATTCCAGGCATAACGACGAAACAGTGAGAGAATGCGTGAGCCAAGAGGTTGGAGGCTGAACATGCAAGGATTTGTGGAAGCATTCCTTAAATAAAAATGTGAGTAACTGGATAATAAGGTGACAGTCGGGTGTGTACGAGGCAGCAAGGAAAAGGACCCAAATGCTGACAGGAACAGTTCAGTGATTAATTGGTGAAACGATGACACATGCTTGCAAGCAAAGGCAGCAAGTCCGAACAGAAGTAGCCAAGAATCTGCAGGTAAACAGGAATGGAGCAGGAAAAGTGGGCAGGCAGGCACAGATTTTGGTCCAGGTTTAGGTGGCTTGAGAAAAGAAAGGCATGAAGCAACATTGACAGTCCGGCCTGGACAATGAGAAGCTGGTTTAAATACAGTTGGGGGTGGTTTAATTAGGGAATAAGTAACAGGGGAGTAAGTAGATATAGGAGTCAGGTGACTGGGACTGGTGGGAATGTCTGAGGGCATCTGGTGGATGGGTGGAGAATGGCATGTCTGAAGAGTGCTAAGAGACACAGGGAGAGAAGAGGGAACATACTGGCAAATTAAACATGTTTTTTTGGTTTGATTATGTTGATTTTTCTGGATATTTTCTTGCATCTCTGACACCTGAATGAAGACTTTACAGTATTTCATTTCAAAACGAATGCATGACAAACAAATCACACAATCAGAGAAAATAGACAGACCTTCTATATATAGTCTTACTTTAACCACACCAAACTTTTACATGATCTCAACAATCGCTCATCTAAACCTAAATCTAACCATATTCTAAATTACATAAAAATCTCTCAAGGCTTCTATCCAAACATAAGCATATTAATGTCATGCCAATGCAACATTTCAGCTAAAGGAACCTCTATTTATAACAAATGGTTTGATTTCATGTAAACCACCTGTTCATCTCTTGGCCACAAGGTGACAGCACAGCGCTACAAATGACAACACTCACCCTAGTAGAGCTAGTTCTGTCAGTGCTGCTGAGTCTCACTTCTCAATTAACAGCATTTAATGGGAACGAGGGGGAGGCTAATAGTCTGATTTCCTTGTCCTCCACAGGAAATCCAAGAGACATTTTGTTGGCGCCAAAAGAAGAAGGTGACTGAAATAAACTTTAAAAGAATTACTGGTGTGGATTTGGATGAGGACAGAAAAACTCCACACGTGCTGAATTTGTTCCATCTTGAAATGACAAAGCAAACTGTGAATGCCATTTATCTATCATTAAATCGACTTTATCCTTCATCAAGCTTTCTGTGTGTTGGTAACATTCTGCTTTTGAGTCCCCCCATCATGTGTTCAAATTACACTGAAACCCTCATATTCTCAAAAAAACAATAGACATTAAACTGAGTCTGACCTGAATATGGATGATCCACCCCCAAACACTCATTTAGTATCTGGACAAACTGGGCAGTACACACACACATTCACACACACATTCACAC